CTGTACCAATCTGATCACTCCTTGTTGTTATAAGTTATGGTAGTCAATCAGATGAGAGGTAGGTGAAGTCTGTACCAATCTGATCACTCCTTGTTGTTATCAGTGTTGGTGAGAGGTAGGTGAAGCCTGTACCAATCTGATCACTCCTTGTTGTTATAAGTTATGGTAGTCAATCAGGTGAGAGGTAGGTGAAGTCTGTACCAATCTGATCACTCCTTGTTGTTATCAGTGTTGGTGAGAGGTAGGTGAAGCCTGTACTGATTTGATCATTCCTTGTTGTTAACAGTGGTGGGACTCTGGAATAAACATTGTGAAATAATAAATACATTTTTGAAACTTGCTGTGAAGAACATTGCTTTTTGAAAATATTTTCACTCTAGTAATTTTTTTTTAACTCTGTTTAACTTTGGCCAATGAGTTAGGTGTATGACAAGTTTCTTTATTGCTTTTGCTGTTACTTTAACTCTATACAGAAGTAGTGCTATTATTTAAGAACAGTCTGGAGTAGATATATCCGATGCACTTACAGTAGTAGTACAGGGTCTTGGGCTATAAGTTGACTGGTTTCCATCCAGAATAGAATGGCTTCAAACAACTTTCCATGTCCGGGGACATTTCAAAGAACGCAGTGGTGTTGCTCAGATCCATTATAGGCCATTTCTACAATAGGAAAACTGTTTAATGTACCATTTACCTTTGTTTATGCCACTTGACATGAGGCCAGTTGTTTACTATTGGGTTGATAAACCTATTTGATGGTATTCCTGAGAGTTCATTCTTATATGCCACTTACCTCTTCATGTATAGGGTATTGTGTCTGTCCGGTGTCACTACAGGTTCCGTCTGTGTACAGTAGGTGTCTTGTTTTACCAATCTTGAAATGGAGACACAACTGACCTCTTGATGTCCTTGTGACTTAGGTATGGTGCTAGATATGGTGTTTCTAACACAACCTTGTGACTTGGGTATGGTGCTGTTTCTAACACAATCTTGTGACTTAGGTATGGTGCTAGATATGGTGTTTCTAACACAACCTTGTGATTTAGGTATGGTGCTAGACATGGTGTTTCTAACACAACCTTGTGACTTAAGTATGGTGCTAGATATGGTGTTTCTAATACAACCTTGTGACTTAGGTATGGTGCTAGATATGGTGTTTCTAGCACAACAGTTCATCCATAATGGCAAATTTGATAGTTTAATAATGGTGTTTTATAATGAAGTATGAAGACGAGGACTTAAGGATTTTGAGTGTAGATTTCTTGACATTGCACAAGATGATTGCTCATTGAAAACTCAGCATGGATTTGTATAAACACATATACAATGTATACGATACGAAAGATTTAGCCTATAAGAAACTCCAGAACTAGCTGAAGATCTGTGTTTTTCACCCTGGATTTTACAGTTTATTCAGTTGTTTTTACAACTTCATGGTTACATATCATGCCAGTCATGTCACAGGAGATTAGAGAAACCCCAGGAAAAATGTTAGCTCCAATGTTTTGTGAGTCTTCCAGCCATGACAGGGAAACCATTGGTGTGAGGGTTACGTTCAGTATATGACAATCAAGGAAAGGCGCGGAATATATTATTTATTCAGTGTGATGTAACAAGAGGATCTCCACTAAATCAAACATTACCCCTGTAGTGTTTGTACGAGTCAGCTTATATTTACAGACGCTTATAATACAATATCAAGTATTGGATTGATTAGTTCAAAAGTGGAGCTCTTTTATGACAGTTTTAGAGTGAATAGTTGTTTTATTCTATGTGCTATAATTGTGAGTGGAATCAAATCATATTATCGTATGGTTCTGTAATTTTGAAATTTCTGGACATTCAAATTTTATGACACCATATGCAGTTCATAATTTGCCGTTAACTGTGCTCAGATTCATGGTTTTGGATTATCTTGGAAATTTAGCATACATTTATTGTACGCAATTTGGATTAGGAAAGCACATGCATCTACTGAACTTTTACTATACAGTTAACGAAGAGATGACTACTTAGTAACTTGGAATGGAATATCCTGGTAAAATGATGTAGATTTATGTATGTAAGATTGTACCAGGTAAATGAAATATAGACAGATAACAAGTGAGACAAAGACCCAGGGTGGTATACCTTAGTGTTGTGACAATGTTAGAAGACATGTACAAGAGAGATTGTTACATGTTTCTGGACCACAGCACCCTACACGGGAGTCGCTGTAGTGTGTATAGTGTGAATACGGCAAGGTCTGCAAAATGATACAGGTGAGACATACTAATTCCGACTTTGTTTTATAGAAACCTAACACTGTGAAATTTTACTTTATTAAACAGGATTATACACTTAGATGATTTTATATCTAATAATCTGGTGCTGGTAAGGAATGACCTGGGTTTTTTTCCTTTTAATTTACAGGAAGATAATTAGGATACTGTTATGCAAGTATGTAAATTACTGTTTCATTTATTCGTAAGTAATAATAGTCTAAGGTCATCTGAATCTTCATGAAGTCAATATTTAATCTTTTACTCCACAGAACCAATAGTTTTACTCAACAGAAGCCTCAATCAATCTATTGACAGTCTCTGAGTCAATATTTACGTTTTTACTCCACAGAACCAACAGTAACAGTCTGTCTGTCGTCAGCAGCAGCCTCAGTGAGCACCTCCACAATTTGGTCCGTGCTTTCTCCAGCCGGACAGAGCGAGTCAAAGAGACCACCATCCAGCCTCCGACTCCCTCGTCTCAAGATGAATATGATACTTACTCTGATGCTAACTCAGGTTTGTTTATACTCCAGTTCAACTAAGAAAGAAAGCAATCAGATTAATGAGAATGTAACATAAATTGTTTATATTAAAACTTCAAAAACTACATGTTAACTGCCCCCCCCCCCACATTTTGAGTAAAAATGAAAAAATAACTGTACCTGTAATAATATGCCTTGCAGTAACCTTCATTTTGTTATTCATCCGTCGTTTGTTGTCAAACAATTCTTGTTATCTCTATTTCTCAAGAAATAAACATACTAAAAGGATCAATCTCAGATTTCAGTTGTAGGTTCCCCTTAGTCTCTAGTTGTGCATGTTTCATTTTGACACGGATTGGAAAAACAAGATTGCCTGTAGGAAAGAAATTCAAACAACTACGTGATCCTATAGAAACATGTTTAGCAAGCCTAGTCGGTGTTAAAAGGGTAATATATAGACATACAAATTTGTTGAACAGATGTCTTTGATATCCTCAAAAACCAATTGGACACACCATAAACTAATTAGAGTTTGTAATATGGAAAATCCAGTGACAGTTATTAGCCCAGGAAGTGTCATCTCCATCCTCCCGATTTCCTGTGGATAGCCTGACTGAGGTCCATTGTTACCACACTTCATGATAAGACAAAGTAATGCTGATCTGTCTCCTCAGTATCGATGTTATATAAATGGAGGTTTGTCAAGCCAAGCATGCAGATAATCGATGTTTGTGGAAGAGGAAAACCTGTACTAATGAGTTGGGTTGTTATTTACATCCATGCTGAAGTCATTCAGAGGAATTAGATTGTATCAATGAAATAAAAAGGCTTTGAATGGTAAATACAATGTAATGCTTACATGCAAGATTGGCAATTAAAGAGTCCATTGTGTAACAATTACTTACAAATTTACCTTAAAAACATTTACCTTAAAAAATAGCTTACAGTGTATAACAATAGACCTACTAAATCATTTTTAAATGATAGTATACATTGTATTACAAAATTACATTTAAACAAAAGTATATATATTGTATTACAAAATTACTTTTAAACAATGGTACTCATTGTATAACAAGTAACAAACTTTTAAACAATGGTATACATTGTATAACAAGTAACCTACAAAATTACTTTTAAACAATAGTATACATTGTATTACAAAATTACTTTTAAACAATAGTATATACATTGTATTACAAAATTACTTTTAAACAATAGTATATACATTGTATTACAAAATTACTTTAAAAAAATGGTATTCATTGCATAACAAGTAACCTACTTTTAAACAATGGTATACATTGTATAACAAGTAACCTACAAAATGTCTTTTAAACAATAGTGTACATTGTATTACAAAATTACATTTAAACAATAGTATATACATTGTATTACAAAATTACATTTAAACAATAGTAAATACATTGTATTACAAAATTACTTTAAAAAAATGGTATTCATTGTATAACAAGTAACCTACTTTTAAACAATGGTATACATTGTATAACAAGTAACCTACAAATTAACTTTTAAACATTGTATTACAAATTAACTTTATAACAATAGTACATTGTATTACAAATTAACTTTTAAACAATAGTGTACATTGTATTGCAATTGACTGTCAGTCATTGTAAGTCCATTGTGATTCAATACATTCTCCTACAATGGTTAAGTTCAAGGTCACAACCTGAGATCATGCATTCTTGGATGTTTCAAAGGATACATATTATAAGTCTGCTTTTTGTTTCTATAAACTTCAGCTTTTTCAAAATGCAATTAAAAAACGAAAATTGATTCTGGAAGAAGCAAAATTTGTTATTAGCTTCCTAAGCTTTGATTGTTGTCTTTGTTCCTGGTGGAACAGGAAATGATGGCGTTAAATATTTCACCCACATTGATTTGTATGTCTCCATCACGTCCTGTTACATCATAACTTATGTACGTCCGGTGTATTATGTCCTGCGAAAATAGAATTTCCAATCTGCTGTATCCTGTAAAAGGAAGATATCCGATGACTGGTAAGATTTTGTTACAACTCTGCAGTCAAAATCTATAACATCTACACAACAAATGCCAGCTTTCCTCCTGTCAAAGCCTGCATGTATATCTCGGCACTGTTGAGGTAGTTTACATGTCCTGTTACGGCCGCTGAATTTCATTCATGGCTGTCTTCTGTCAATGGTTTACCTGAATTGATTGGATTTCAATGTTCTAGCTACAAGAGGTGTAGCTTCAGAATGACTATGTTATATAGCCAATAGTCTTGTTTAACCTCTATTAATGTCATGAATGATATTTACCCGGCAAAACTTCACCATTTAGTCATAAACTTATGTAGTGGTTTATTTTGCTGTGAAAATATAGATTTTTACAAAACCTAAGAAATCATTTCTCATTAAATACAAATCAAAGTTTGATATGAACAATCAAAGGGACACCTGGTATACTATTTGAATGTATACAAGTCTCTTTCATATATAGGGGTGTAGGATAATTAGGGATATCGCACCCAAGGTGTTTTCAAATTGGGTATAACATGAGGCTTGCCAAGGTTTGGTGGATTTCCCCATCCTACACCCATGGGAATGAAACAGTAGCTTTCTCTCATTCCAATCACCAAAATAAGCTCCAAAACCACATAAGGATCCCAACTTCTGCATCTCAACATATGTGAGAAAGAAAATTGGGAAGTTTGGCTGCATTGTGTAAGTCTCCCACAAATTGTGTTTATCACTATCATTCTAGGCTTCAGAAGGTTTTTCAAAGGTGAAATGTTTGGCTGTGCATTGTGAAATTCTCCTATAAGTCCGTATTTATCACTATCCAAGATTTGATTGGAGACATAACAGGAGCCGTATGTGGTGCAGGAAACCTCTGTGGCGTAACTGGTCTGGTTTCCTCCTGATGTATTAACAAAGTTCTGTTATACGGCCTTAGACTAAACCTTTCAACTCAAAACATAACCCAATAATCTACATGCATGTATTAGACATGAATGCTTTACAACTGGTAATAGGTTCTATGTGTCATACATTTTCACATAGTGTAATTGGAGATCAATCTTGTTGTGAATTCAAACTTTGACAGATATTTTTGAAAGAATACCAATTGGCAATCAGCAATTATGGTTACCATTGTAAACAAGGTAGTGTTTCCACAATAATGGCTGTTTTGCTCTTTGGTATAAAAAAGTCCAGTTGCCATTCATTGTCATGATTCTTCTGATTTTTTTCTACAAAGTTTATACAAAGATCAAGTATGAGCACATCTCAGATTAGTTTATATTTCAGGTCCCCAAGGTCACTTGCTGTTTATAAAGGTCAACAGTAGGGCCAAGAGGTATTCATGTATTACAGATTTTTAAAGTTTTATTATCCCCTCACAACGAAAGTTCGAGGGGATATAGGATTCTGCCCATACGTATGTTTGTAGGTATGTTACTCTCTTTGACATCGCTCTAGCGACCTCATTCCTCATCGGAATTTCGTGAAACTCCATACAAGTGTTTGGTATGGCAATGCCCTGAACAAATTAACATTTTGGGTTTCTATGTTGAAGGTCAAGGTCTGAATGTTACTCTTTTAAGAAAAACTTTGTCATTGCTCTAACGACTTCATTCCTCAATGAAATTTCATGAAACTTGATACAATTGTTTGCCATGACAACACCTTCATCAGATGCAGTCGCTAGAGCAGTTACTGTTACATCATTGCATTTCTATTCATTTCCTCATACATAAGGCCCACAATGTGTGAATGCGAGAGGATTTGTATCACTTAGGATGCCTTGTTTAAATTTATAGCACTTAATTATAATTACAAACATTTCATGGTTGCAGCAATTTCAGCCATGGATGAGCCCGAGCAGAGACAGCACCGTCTGGACTCCTTCATCCCCATGCACCTACGTGAGCGAGGACCCATGGGGCAGTCTGATGATGGCACGCTGGACGAGTATTTCCTTGAGTGTGGATGTTGTAAAACTCGCCTGCCATCTTGGCTGAAAAACATGTGTAGCATCCCAAGGACACTGGAGCCACAGAGTAAGATACAGTACTCCAGTTTAACACAATGTCCTTTGCTTTTTTGTCAAATCCATTGAGCACTCAGAATAGACCAAAATGATCAATCTGTGTGACTTTTTTATGTAAATTATTTCCTAGGTAAGTAGTAAGTGATTAGGCTATGTGATATTGTGAATTAAGTCAAAGTTGTGTCAGCAGAACTGCACTGGATCAATCATGTGCGACCACATAGCGCAATTGATCCAAGCATCTGTCTAGAGTATGGAGGTCCTGGGTTTAAATCCCAGTCTGGTCAAGCATAGTTCCTATCCTGTTGTTGGTTGTTATTCCTAGGTAAATTGTAAATGGTGAAGCTCTGTGACATTGTGTTTTAACTAAGAGTTTTTTCCGTAGGTAAGCTGTACATGATGTAGCTGTATAATATTGTGTTTTGACTAAGAGTTTTTTCGTAGGTAAGCTGTACATGATGGAGCTGTATAACATTGTGTTTTAACTAAGAGTTTTTTCGTAGGTAAGCTGTACATGATGGACCTGTATGACATTGTGTTTTAACTAAGAGGGTTTTTTTCCGTAGGTAAGCTGTACATGATGAAGCTGTATAACATTGTGTTTTAACTAAGAGTTTTTTTTCCGTAGGTAAGCTGTACATGATGGAGCTGTATGACATTGTGTTTTAACTAAGAGTTTTTTCCGTAGGTTAGCTGTACATGATGAAGCTGTAAGACATTGTGTTTTGACTAAGAGTTTTTTCCGTAGGTAAGCTGTACATGATGGAGCTGTATGACACTGTGTTTTAACTAAGAGTTTTTTCCGTAGGTTAGCTGTACATGATGGAGCTGTATGACATTGTGTTTTAACTAAGAGTTTTTTTTCCGTAGGTAAGCTGTACATGATGAAGCTGTATGACATTGTGTTTTAACTGAGAGTTTTTTCTGTAGGTAAGCTGTACATGATGAAGCTGTATAACATTGTGTTTTAACTAAGAGTTCTTTTTCCGTAGGTAAGCTGTACATGATGGAGCTGTATGACATTGTGTTTTAACTAAGAGTTTTTTTCCGTAGGTAAGCTGTACATGATGGAGTTGTCAGACATTGTGTTTTAACTAAGAGTTTTTTTTCGTAGGTAAGCTGTACATGATGGAGCTGTATGACATTGTGTCTTAACTAAGAGTTTTTTCCGTAGGTAAGCTGTCCATGATGGAGCTGTATGACATTGTGTTTTAACTAAGAGTTTTTTTCCGTAGGTAAGCTGTACATGATGGAGCTGTATGACACTGTATTTTAACTAGGAGTTTTTTCCGTAGGTAAGCTGTACATGATGGAGCTGTATGACACTGTGTTTTAACTAGGAGTTTTTTCCATAGGTAAGCTGTACATGATGGAGCTGTATAACATTGTGTTTTAACTAAGAGTTTTTTTCTGTGTGTAAGCTGTACATGATGAAGCTGTATGACATTGTGTTTTAACTAAGTGTTTTTTCCGTAGGTAAGCTGTACATGATGAAGCTGTATAACATTGTGTTTTAACTAAGAGTTTTTTCCGTAGGTAAGCTGTACATGATGTTTTCCGTAGGTAAGCTGTACATGATGAAGCTGTATGACACTGTGTTTTAACTAAGAGTTTTTTTCGTAGGTAAACTGTACATGATGGAGCTGTGTGACACTGTGTTTTAACTAAGAGTTTTTTTCGTAGGTAAGCTGTACATGATGGAGCTGTATAACATTGTGTTTTAACTAAGAGGTTTTTTCGTAGGTAAGCTGTACATGATGGAGCTGTATGACATTGTGTTTTAACTAAGAGTTTTTTCCGTAGGTAAGCTGTACATGATGGAGCTGTATGACATTGTGTTTTAACTAAGAGTTTTTTCCGTAGGTAAGCTGTACATGATGGAGCTGTATGACATTGTGTTTTAACTAAGAGTTTTTTTCGTAGGTAAGCTGTACATGATGGAGCTGTATGACATTGTGTTTTAACTAAGAGTTTTTTCCGTAGGTAAGCTGTACATGATGGAGCTGTATGACATTGTGTTTTAACTAAGAGTTTTTTTCGTAGGTAAGCTGTACATGATGGAGCTGTATGACATTGTGTTTTAACTAAGAGTTTTTTCCGTAGGTAAGCTGTACATGATTTTTTCCGTAGGTAAGCTGTACATGATGAAGCTGTATGACACTGTGTTTTAACTAAGAGTTTTTTTCGTAGGTAAGCTGTACATCATGGAGCTGTATAACATTGTGTTTTAACTAAGAGTTTTTTCCGTAGGTAAGCTGTACATGATTTTTTCCGTAGGTAAGCTGTACATGATGAAGCTGTATGACACTGTGTTTTAACTAAGAGTTTTTTTCGTAGGTAATCTGTACATGATGGAGCTGTATAACATTGTGTTTTAACTAAGAGTTTTTCCGTAGGTTAGCTGTACATGATGAAGCTGTATGACACTATGTTTTAACTAAGAGTTTTTTCCGTAGGTAAGCTGTACATGATTTTTTCCGTAGGTAAGCTGTACATGATGAAGCTGTATGACACTGTGTTTTAACTAAGAGGTTTTTTCGTAGGTAAGCTGTACATGATGGAGCTGTATAACATTGTGTTTTAACTAAGAGTTTTTTCTGTAGGTAAGCTGTTCATGATGGACCTGTATGACATTGTGTTTTAACTAAGAGTTTTTTTCGTAGGTAAGCTGTACATGATGGAGCTGTATAACATTGTGTTTTAACTAAGAGTTTTTTTCCGTAGGTTAGCTGTACATGATGGACCTGTATGACGTTATGTTTTAACTAAGAGTTTTTTTTCCGTAGGTAAGCTGTACATGACCTGGTTGTTCCTGGTGACGCTGTGTTTTATGTACAATGCCTGGGTAATTCCACTCCGTGGAATCTTCCCGTACCAGAACTCTTCCAACCTCATCTACTGGCTCATCTGTGACTACACCTGTGATGCCATCTATATACTAGACATGTTGGTGGTCAAACCCCACCTTACTTACCTAAACAGTGGTTTGGCTGAGGTAAATTTTCATTAAAATTAACCTGAACTGTTACATGGCTAGCTTTCATAAAATTAACCTGAACTGTTACATGGCTAGCTTTCATAAAATTAACCTGAACTGTTACATAGCTAGCTTTCATTAAATTAACCTTAACTGTTAGATATAGCTAGCTTTCATTAAATCAACCTTAACTGTTAGATAGCTAGCTTATTACAGAATGGCACTCTTGTTATTACCTAAGGTTGATATCTGAAAGCAGTCAATTATTAATTTTAATTTAGATTAAAGTTAAGATAGCTGAGATACTGTACAATAGAAGTTGAAGGAAACAATCAAGCATTGTATATTCATCAGAACCATAATATGTATAACAATGAATGGAAGGATCTTGTTAGTAGGGCTCTACATATGGCAGTACTATATTCATTCAGCCTGTTAGAACTAATAACTTGTATCCCAATGGATTTTTTAGGTCACCTGAGCTTTAGCTCAAGTGACCTATTGCTATCCGTTTTCGTCCGTCGTCGTCCGTCGTCCGTCGTCCGTTGTACGTCGTCCGTCGTCCGTCGTCCGTCGTCCGTCGTCCGTTAACATTTTACATTTCAAACTTAAAGTCAAGTTCTGCTGGGCCGATTGAACTGAAAGTTGATAGGAATGATCGCCTCATGGTCCTGACAAAGTGTTGTTATTTTTCGGGTCGATCAGAAATCCAATATGGCCGCCACGGCCGCCATTTTGAAAACCTATTTCAAACTTAAAGTCAAGTTCTGCTGGACCGATTGAACTGAAAGTTGGTAGGAATGATCGCCTCATGGTCCTGACAAAGTGTTGTTATTTTTCGGGTCGATCAGAAATCCAATATGGCCGCCACGGCCGCCATTTTGAAAACCTATTTCAAACTTAAAGTCAAGTTCTGCTGGACCGATTGAACTGAAAGTTGGTAGGAATGATCGCCTCATGGTCCTGACAAAGTGTTGTTATTTTTCGGGTCAATCAGAAATACAATTTGGCTGCCATGGCCGCTATTTTGCTACTAAGTTCTAATAGGCCGATCTCACTTAAAATTGGTCTAGGAATGATCAGCTCATGGTCCTGACAAAGTTAAGTTAACATTATACTATTTTTTACTCAAATTGGTACATATTTCAACAACAAAAATAAATACTTTAGACTCAGGTGACCGTTAAGGCCCATGGGCCTCTTGTTTTTTATTAATCTTCCTTGGGAGAGCTGTCATCTAATAAAAGGATGAAGGTGGGGCTCAATAAAGTTATTGTAAATCAGGTGTTATATGTAACACATGTGATTGTTTTTAATACGTTAATAAAATTTTTGTTAACTTTTCAGACCAATCCAAAGTTAATGAGAAAGAATTACATGCAGAAAAGAATGTTTAAGGTAAATATTTACAAACACACATTATTATTGTGTTCCTCTCTTGATTCACCGATGATGTCAGTGATATCACCATATTGTCACTGTGCCAGCCTAATACTAGCAATTATAAAAGTGGTTGATGTGACCGTGTCAGCTTTTAAAACAAAAAGACTTAATTCTAGCTTGTTCTCAGTATATTGATGTTGAGAATATAAAAGTCTTGAGTGAAAGTGGGGCATTACAAACTGTCTGAAAACATTTTACTAGTGATGCTTGACAAATTTATTGCACTCCTTATTAAACCGATACAAGCCATCCTGATTTAAACCGTCCTGTTTGTGTGTTACAGTTTGATGTGCTGTCTTTGCTCCCCCTTGACTTGTTTTACCTGCTGTGGGGTGTCGTACCCTGGTTTAGACTTCCACGTCTCCTTAAGGTATGTTTCATTGGGGTTTTCAGGAATATTTGCATACATTCTTGGTGATGTGATAAAAAGGGTCTTAATGTTCATTTCTTCACAAGATTTATTAAACTTGCCCCAGAACTTTTGTTTTAGCTCTGCTGTAATATAAATAGCTACTGGTTGTTGAGGAGCAATTTTGGAGAATGGAATATCAACAAACAGAAAACTGACATAAATCACCTGATGCTCTATCAGAAATTGTATTTGTATGGCCCTTAATCCAGCTGGACAATCCAATCCAATCCAATAATATCATGTATTACTGTTGGATTGGGGAGTGGGTTTTTGGAGAAACCAGACTTAAAAAGTCTGACAAACACAAACACATATATTGACATTGTAAGTACATTGAGGGTATAAAAAATAAACCCCCTAAAAACACGAAATTCTTATGGTCGCAAATAATACCATGCAAGCAACAGTGTTTAGACTTCGTAAGAAAGATCTGTTCATCCTTTTCTTATGGGGGTTGTCGCCTCCACATCTACGCTTATAGTTGAGGAAATAAAATTAAACCTCTTAATTCAGCAAAATACTAATAAATGTAACTAAAAATGCAAGCTATATAGTCTTGATGATGAGTATCCGAGCCGCACTAGTACAGTACTACTGACCTACAAGGTAGGTCTGAATATCACCCCTCCTGTATTCAATATGGCGGACCGGTTTCGTCATTCAAAACAACATGAAGTTTGCCCTAACCCTGTATGCTGCGTACTGTAATGTACTGACCGAGTATCCCTCAGTTCTATGTCTTCTGTGTAACATGAAGTTTGCTCTAACCCTGTATGTTGCGTACTGTTATGCATTGACCAAGGATCACTCAGTTCTATGTCTTCTGTGTAATATGAAGTTTGCCCTAACCCTGTATGCTGCGTACTGTAATGTACTGACCAAGGATCACTCAGTGCTATGTCTTCTGTGTAACATGAAGTTCGCTCTAACCCTGTATGCCGCGTACTGTAATGTATTGACCGAGGATCACTCAGTTCTATGTCTTCTGTGTAATATGAAGTTTGCCCTAACCCTGTATGCCGCGTACTGTAATGTACTGACCAAGGATCACTCAGTTCTATGTCTTCTGTGTAACATGAAGTTTGCCCTAACCCTGTATGTTGCGTACTGTTATGTATTGACCAAGGATCACTCAGTTCTATGTCTTCTGTGTAACATGAAGTTTGCCCTAACCCTGTATGCTGCGTACTGTAATGTATTGACCGAGGATCACTCAGTTCTATGTCTTCTGTGTAACATGAAGTTTGCCCTAACCCTGTATGCTGCGTACTGTAATGTATTGACCGAGGATCACTCAGTTCTATGTCTTCTGTGTAACATGAAGTTTGCCCTAACCCTGTATGCTGCGTACTGTAATGTATTGACCGAGGATCACTCAGTTCTATGTCTTCTGTGTAACATGAAGTTTGCCCTAACCCTGTATGCTGCGTACTGTAATGTATTGACCGAGGATCACTCAGTTCTATGTCTTCTGTGTAACATGAAGTTTGCCCTAACCCTGTATGCTGCGTACTGTAATGTATTGACCGAGGATCACTCAGTTCTATGTCTTCTGTGTAACATGAAGTTTGCCCTAACCCTGTATGCTGCGTACTGTAATGTATTGACCGAGGATCACTCAGTTCTATGTCTTCTGTGTAACATGAAGTTTGCCCTAACCCTGTATGCTGCGTACTGTAATGTATTGACCGAGGATCACTCAGTTCTATGTCTTCTGTGTAACATGAAGTTTGCCCTAACCCTGTATGCTGCGTACTGTAATGTATTGACCGAGGATCACTCAGTTCTATGTCTTCTGTGTAACATGAAGTTTGCCCTAACCCTGTATGCTGTGTACTGTAATGTACTGACTGAGGCTCACTCAGTTCTATGCCTTCTGTGTAACATGAAGTTTGCCCTAATCCTGTATGTTGCGTACTGTAATGTATTGACCGAGGCTCACTCAGTTATATGCCTTCTGTGTAACATGAAGTTTGCCCTAACCCTGTATGCTG